ATACTGGATAATATGTTTCTGTAACTTCAACAAGTTATGCTGGAAGCAACGAAGGATGATGGCTTCAATTATTTTAAACCCGGTATAAGGAAAACAAAGTTTCGCAGCCATGGGATCCTATCTACAAGTTTAAAATACAGTAGAGAAATTACTGAAAAATCTAGAAACTGTATGAACGCTCAGAATAAAAATCAGAAGTAATATTTTTAATTTAATTTCATAATAGTAAATGTTGTATTTTATATTTATTTTCTTTTGCTACTTTTTTAGAACAGAGGGTATGATTTAAAAGAAATTGAGGCTAATCTTTGGAATATGGTAACAGGTAGTTGGCGACATTTTGGTGGGCGATAAAGGTTACTACCTAGGACTTTGGGAATAATGTGAGAAGTACTCAGTTCCGATTACGCATTATTTTGTGTGAGGGAAATGAGAGATCATGAGATATGTCATGTGACATTAATGGACGAATTACAGTTCTTTAATCGGAAAAGGGGGGAAATCTGGAAAAAATCTGGAAATTTTGTATTTAGCTTCATTCTGTGTTGTGTGAAACAGTGTTGGTTAATTTTTGGATCCTATGGCCCTATCTAAAGTGAATTCGAAATGGGTATTTAGTGGGATTGAAAGGGGTAGTAATAAGTGTTTTTTTAAGGTTGTGCGAGATAGAAGTAAAGATTGCTCATTAAGTTTTATTAAGCAGTATATTCTACCTGGTAGAATAATATCTGATTGCTGGAAGTCATATGTCTGTTTGGAGGATGAAGGTTTTTCAACATCTTGCTGTGAACCATAAATATGATTTTAAAGATCCTGAAACAGGCGCACATACGATTGCTTTTTATTTAGTGGAGGAAATAAGAAAAGTTTATCTGCCACGTAATAAAGATTCTGAAGAAGATTAGGTAAGTTAGTATTTTTAATTATTTGAGGATATTATTTTTATGCATTGTTCTAAATGTAAGGAGTAAATAAATTAATATGATATTATTGGAAAATTGTTATTAGCAATGATTTAGTTTAAAGTAATTAGGATTGTAAGCTAATTTTTATTAATTTAATGTATGTGCTTATTTATATTTTAAGTAGTGTTTTTTAATTTAATTATATTTTAATTAAATGATAGTTATTTTGTGAATTATATGTTTGTAGCAATTTGGTATAAGTTTCAGTGGAAGTAAACGTGCATGGAAATAATTTAAATATTTGACACTAAGTATTTGTAACCATTTTTAATGTTTGCGTTATGAATTCTTTGGTGACGTTTATAATAGATAATTTAGAGGTAAAAGTTTTATATTTTATTTATGTTATACGTGGAAACGTTCATCCTTGGAAAGGGTATACACTTTTTCGCGATCAGGTAATTTCATATATGTCCTTATTACCGAATTTAAAGATTCACAAAATTTTCATGCATTTTCGTGAAATTTTTCTAATTTATGAGAAAAAAGCAGTGTAGATGGATAAAGTCAAGAGTGTGCGCAATGCCATTTTTGTGCAATTCTGGGATGTTTTTTTAAGTAAAAATAAGTCGACGTGTACATGGTTACTATGTATGTGCGATTCTGAAAAACGCGGCAAGGAGTTTGCGATTGTGCACATTTTCCCAATTTTGCAGTTAATATTTGTCACGATTAAGCAGTTTTGTTCCATAAAATTTCTAGCATAAGTGTAATTCAGCTAGCAGATTGTTGGAAAAAGTGTTGAGTAAATAAAAAGAAAAGAAACATGGTTGCTGTAGCAGAGTTTGTCACCGAATTTTCGCCAAAAAATCGCAAGTTACCATAATTCAAAGATTAACCGAAATTGATTTTGCAATGCAGATCCCAAGATAACATGTGAAACAATTTTAGCTAATGACATGAAAGGTTTAAAAATTATTCTCGATGAAACGAAAAATATATAAAACAAAGATCTTTTACTTAAAATGAGCTTTCAAATTATCAAACCATAGGGGGAGAAAATTGCAATAATAACATTATATTGGGAGTACAAATAAGTCCATGTCTTTTTTTTTTTTTTTTTTAATCAGAAACTGGACATTTATTGTGAAAGAATGTACGTTAGTTTTATTCAAAGTATTACCCATTGCTAATTACTTTTTACTGTCTTTCTCACAACACACAGATATTGCGTGGGAAGAACGCTTCATCTCTTGAGGTTCTTCACAAATTATCAATTACAATAAAAAGGTGGGCCCACATCTGTGTTTCATTTCCTGTTTTTCTTTCTCTTTTTGGGGGTGGGGAGGAGAGGGAACGTTTGGTTATCATCTAAGAAATTGTTGGGGTGATTTTCTGAAGGTCAGGGGTAATTTTATCAGTTAGCTGTTTCGTTTTTCACTAGAGCAGTCTTCTTTCGCTTTCGTTCAAACAAGTTTTGTTAGCGCTATGTTTAATAGTTTTTAGTTGTAGATGTTTATTTAATTTTATTTTATAGTTTATAATTTTTTAATTGTATAGTGAATCTGATACGGATCCCGGTACATGTGCAAAACATGCAATATTGGGTTGAGCTTTTTTAAAGGTGTTGTCACTTTCTTCGAAAAGTACCACCATTAAAAAATAGACAAAAGTGTAAATATGAAATGTAAATAATGTAAATATCATATACCTAAGTTACTTTTTTTTCTCATCATATAACCAAAAAGAGCTTTTTTAGTGGGGTGCAGAGTAGCAGGTTTCACCATGGCGTCCTGAGTAATGCTAAATCTGCTACGTTATTCAGAATCTAGTGTTTTGTAATCGTACGCAAAATCTCTTGCTCTTTTACACGCTTCCCAGCAATGCTCGTTTCAGCACTTTTTTTGAAGCTCTATTCATTCAATGTGCCCATTTCGGGTACACTCACAGAATTAAAACGATAAGTGCTATCTTCACAAAATTTTACCTGTGCACTCCTCTAGGTCTGATTAGACTGCCTAACTTTTTTTCCTCGGAATTCCAACTTTAAAAGGTAGCATGCCAGAAAAGGTTAATGCTTGTATCATCCATGATGTTTTTTTTTTTTTTTTTTTCTCATGATATACATATAACGGGGAAAATCTTTACTCCTTTAAATACTCAAGGCCGTGCATTTTTTCCGATTATGAAAAGTTTATACTTGTGCATTCCTGCATGTAAAATTGTTTCGCTTTGGAATCTTTGACACCAGCTGGAGCCTTTTCTGTAAAGTTTGCCAATGTATTTCACAGCACATACTGCCAGAAAAGACCAGTTTCATCACTGTTGTAAATTTGTTGAGATAACTTTTCACTATTAGTCAGTTCAATAAATTCATCTGCAATTAGTTCAGCAGCTTTAATATCAGCTATCATAAGAGTGGCAATGAGAGACACGTTGTTTCGCTAAATTTTGTCTTGCTTCTATTGCACACTGTAACAGTTAAGCCTGAATTATTTTAGTTATTTATTATACTTACGTCTATTTCTTGCACATGCTTAAGTCATGTTGAGTCCTGAACAAATAAATTCCCACATATACCTAAGGCTTATCAAGGGACGGTGCTAGATATCTTTCTGCCTGGTGCAGTCTCTGTGAGTCCTAAATTCTGCTAACAAGCACATGTCCAAGTTCTAAATTTTTGTTGCCCCTAAATTTTGGGTACCAGTGCTTTCCATAAATTCTAAAAATTTTGTTGCTGGGTGCTTCTCTAAATTCAAAAAATTTTGTCTTCCTTAAATTCTGCCATCTGGAGTGGCCATAAGAGCTCTAGTACCGCTTCTGGGTTTATGTGAATAACAAATCAGTTATTCTTAATTCAAATAGCACTAAATGTGATCTTTTGGCCTTTGAATATCATTAACAAAATCTATTTTTATCATATTGAAAGAAATTTTTGTTAAATATTTCCTCAACATTTCTCAGTGCATTCAATTTAAATCTGTAATCACCGCCAAGCGTAATGTCAACAGAAAAGTTAAACTCTTTGTTACTCAATTACTAATATAAAAGAATGTTTAAGCATTGTTGAGCGAGACATTACACAAGTTGCCATGAGCTGATAAACATGTGGTGAAGAAAGCCAAATATAATTTATAATGATTTGGCAGGTTGGCATCAGAGATATAAAATCTTAGTTGGTTTAAAATCAACGATGTTTCTATGTAGAATGTTTCAGTTTGAGACGTATGTCAAGCAGATATGCAGCTACGAAATCAAATTATTGATCACACCAATTTATCCTAAAATGATTGTTTCTTCAATAAAGAGGTATTTTATTTAGTGCTGAAGTAAAATTAAGAATCAGGACTCACCACATGTTTTATTATGAGGCGGAATCAAATGCACATGCAGAAAGCATACAAAAAAAAAAAAAAAAAAAAAAAAAAATGCTGTTGGTGGCTTTGAGGTCCGAATTTTAGATCACTCCAGATCTCAGACTTTGTACTGTATCAAATACTTTCACTGCTTTAGAAAACTGTTTTCATGATACTTTCCATTTATTCGCTTAAAGTAGGTTTCAGGTCAGCAAGTTATTTACTCAGCTAAACCCCAAATTGCTTTAACACAACACACAGAGATGCTCTGCACCTAACCCTAAACACCTATAACTAAATCACATAAAATTTATTTCCTTACCAACAACTAAAAATTAAAAATTTTTTTCTTACCAACAACTGCAAAGATAACACTTAAAATATAAATTGAAAAAACACTTAAAATATAAATAAACATAATTATATGTTTGGCAAATTAAATCATTAAATGAAACTGGCTCTAATAGACATGCAAAGAGGTGCAGGACTGTACACTACAAATAAATTTTTTGATTAATATTTCTAAACTATATATTTTCTGAATATTGCAATCGAACATACATTATGTATATTTTTATTTAAACTTTAAATATTTATTACATTGCATTAATTTTAAAGTTATATCATAAAATTTTTAAGCATATAAATAATTTTTTTTTAATTTTACTTCATCTAAAAAGAATGAAAAATACAGTTAACTGGAATTTGATTTAACAAAATAGCACATTTTCATACTTACTTGTAAAATAAACACTCTGGCTAGAAAAGTGATCAACAAAACTCCTGAAACTACCCAGCGTGCAATAGTGTGTGGAGTCCAAATGTCTAAAATATGCTGATAAACCTAACATACAAAATAAGCCAATATGTTTAAAGTGGATCTATTCAAAACACAATAAAAAAAATTTTTACTCCATATTTTTAACAATTTAAAGAAGAGAAATTTTATTTGAAATAATGAATGAAATATGGATATACTATAAGTTATTACAATATCACAAAAATACATTTTAAAAGCATAACTTAAAGAAAAGTACATAATAATGATAGTGAAGTTTCAATGAAGAATAGGTTGTCAATTTTAAATAGAAACAATGACACAGATTTTGTAATTCTACAATAATCATACGATTATCTTAAGGTCCGAGGTAAAATTTTCAAGTTGATAGTCATTTGTATACAGCAAAATATATTTACAAGACATTTATCAATGCATGTTTATATAAAATACATAAAAAAATTCAATTTCTTTTAAATACTTTGACTAAATATTTATTTCTACACAATTTAATCAGAGACTTATAATAAATACATTATGCTACATAATATATCTGCCTAAGGTGGTAAATTATAATGCATATTTTACACTTATAATTTAGCAAAATGTTTTAAATACAGCTTACTTTATATTTGTAATTTCATACCTTACATACTACTAACATCTTTTCATCATTAAGCGAAAATAATCTAATTCAGTGGTATTCAAATTATGGTCGTGACTCCATTCGTTGTTTCGAAAATTTATAGTGGGTTCTCAAAGCAAAAAATCCTTAAAAAAATCTGAAGTAATGGTATCTCACTAAGGGTCCATGCTCTGATTTGGGGTCGTGAAATTGTTTTTTGAGGTCATTTATATTTTTATGGGGTCGCACTGCCATAAAGTTTGAATACCACTGCTGTAATTCATACCTGCGATATTTTATGTGTTGTGCAAGCAAACACTGATGGCCTAGGACGAACAGAATCATCGCTTTGCATCATTATGAAAGTCAAGAAATGTGTGAATATTCAGTTCAAAATAGTAACGCCTAAAAACAAAAAAGGCACAGTTTATTTAATGAAACTAGAAAACTCTCATTGTGCATTAATTCGCAAGTAAGGCATCAAATCTTAACTTTCCTGCCTCGAGTTAAATATATGATCGTGTCATACAGCCGGCATTAAGAAATCAACAACCGCACCCACTGAAAGTTGTTTAAAAGTTAAAATTTCAAGAGAAATAAGTACACTGTTCCAAAAACAGATTAATTTTTTTTTAATTTAAAGACCAATTAGCTTATAACTATAATATATTAATTAAACTGGTAAAACAATAAACAAATATAGGAATTGAACAACTCAACGCAGTGAGTTGGATTTATCATTTACTGATATAAACTTATACATTATTTATCGGTTTAAAAAAGTGCTACTGATAAAACAAATGGTATTTTTATACTTAAGGAAAGATATATTACGTACTATATTTTCTTCGTTCCATACAGGAAATTAAAAATGTGATTTAATCAGAATATGTCACCTACACATCAAACACATTGCACACGCAGAAGACCGTAGAAAAACTTAGTTGCTTTCATCCTGCCTATGATTCCACGTTTTATCTGAAATAGAGGTAGCAACAGAAGAGGAATTCCTTTCCCACCGTTTGAAGCCGTTATTTACACTCAAAGTACGTGTGGCATTATTGTTTGCATCTTATTTTGATACCTTATTTTGACAGTTTGTCAGGAACAGGAACTTATTGTATTGTAAGTCTTATAGCATAAAGATGATAAAGATGGTTTGGTTTGGCTTGGTTTATTTGATTACGGCAAAGCCTCGAGGGCTATCTGCCTAAGAAACGGATGCCTTTGTGGAGGACATTCTAAGGAAACTGGTTCGTATAATGTGACACATGGAGGAAACCACGAAATATAGCACCGGTCGGAAGCTTGCAGTTGTAGCCTTCAGTGATAATGCTGATAACTCTAAGAAGTTGATGGCAAGTGCTATGATGATTACGAAAACCGAATTGTTCTTCTGGGAGAAAATTCATGGAAGGGTGAATTTTTGGATATGGCAAAGTAGGATTTTCTCAGTAACTTTAGACAGGTGGCTAAGTAAACTGATAGGGCGATAGTTCTGTGGGAGAGTTGGATTTTGTTGCGGTTTAGCAAAACAATTATTATAGCTTGCTTCCATGAGTTAGGAAAATGAGCGAATTTGATAATGTTGTTGATTATCTTAGTTAGGCAGGTAAGAGCGTTGATCGGAAAATGCTTCAGTGCTTTGGTCGAGGTGCCATCGTGCCCTGGGGCTTTCTTCGTTTGTAAGGCGCTGATGGTGTTGGCAACGATTGTTGGGGTAGTCAGGAAAGTGAAGTTGTACGGAGCAGGGGTATTAAGGAAGTTATTGACCACCTGGTTGACCCGTTCAATATGGTTATTGTCGTACGGAGTGGGATTAAGAGTGAATGTATCTTCCATATAGTCCGCAAAAGATTTAGCTTTATCTTCTTCTGTATATGAAGTTCCACTAGGTTTCTTGAATTTGCGGGAAATGTCAAATAGGGAATTGTCCTCTATAGCTAGGTTATTTAGGAAATTGGTCCATTTTTGGTTTTTGAAGTTCTTGATTCTTCTGTTGATTTCTTTTTGCATAGAGTTTAGTTCGTGTTTGAGTTGTGGATCCCTGGTGGTTTGCCATCTTTTACGGATTCGGTTTTTCTCTTTAATCCTATTTCTTATATCGGCAGGCAGGGGAAGGAAAGGCTTGTTCACATAAAAAGTATTGGTGGCTTCCTTTAAAGCAGAATTGATGCTGTTGGTAAATTTTGAGACTTCGTGTTCTAAATCTTCTATGTGTTTGATGCATGGGTTACCTTGTATGGAGTTATTCAGAATTTCAGAGTATTTGATCCAATTTGTAACTCCTATACTTCTGTCAAGTGAGGGGAGGTATTTATTAATGGGGATTTCAAATACAATGGGGTTGTGGTCGGAAGACAGGGCTGAAATTACAGAGATATTGCATCTGTTAGTAATGTTATTTGAGATGAAGAAGTCAATTGTGGTGGCGCTATTGTACCCGTAATGGGTGGGCTCGTCTGGAGCATGAATGTTATAATTATTTGATTGAATGAGTTTAAATATGTCATTTCCTTTTTTGTTAGCAGGGCCTCGGTTCCAGCAGGGGTGTCTGGCGTTGAAACCAGGCAGTTTTATGCTTCTTTTAACAAATGTGATGATGCCACCGCCTCTTCCTGTCTCACGATCCGTACGGTAGGTGTTATAATTAGCATAAAGTACTTTGAGTGCTGGTTTAAGGTGAGTCTCTTGTATGAGTATTGCGTCAGGTTCAATTTCAATAACGAGGTTGGATAATTCATCATTTTATGGTAAAGACCGTTAGCGTTCCAAGAGAGGATTTTTATGTTGCATCTGTTCTTGAATTTATTAGCATTAAAGATGATTTCCTATTTTTTCAATGATTTCGACTACTGCGATTATTTTATCAAGAGGTGATTTCTTGGTTTTAATGTTTTTGAGTCCTTGTATCACTATTGTCCAGATTGTTTTTAGCGAAGAGAAGTCAAAGAGGTCTGACAGGGAGGATTCTGCGGTGCTGGTAGTTTCTTCTGTTAGAATTTCGTTTTGAATGGAGGTTTGAGCGATATTTTCGTTACTGTTTGATGTCAGCGGAGGAAAGTCTTGTCTTCTGTTAGTCCAGGGATTGGTTGCTGGTGGAGGACTGGGTTGGAACTGAACTTGTTTGTTTTTTGGTCTGGCCGGGCAATTTGAGAAGTTGGCTGGGTGAGGACCTTTGCAGTGATAACATATGGCTGGCTGGTCGCGGCTACGGGTGCATTCTATAGGTTTGTGATTGCCTCCGCAACGGACGCATACCCAGTCTCTGGTGCAGAGCAGGGAACTGTGAAAAAATCCCTGGCATCTATAGCATTGTGGAGGGCCAGGTTTCTTGCGTAATGATTCTATTGTTACGTTCATATAACCTATGCGTTTGATTTTGAATATTTCCTTATTTTCTTCTGATTTTGGTATATGTACTAAGAAAAGCGGCATTGGTTTATTTTCTTTTCTGTTTCTTAATAGTGTAATAAAGTTAACCTTAAATCCTTTGTCAAGAAGTTCTTGAGTGATGGTTTGGGGATCTGTGGTGATGGGTAAGCCTCTTATTATGACTTTTAAAACTTTATCTTCGGGCAATAAGTAGGTGTGGGCTTTAAGCTTTGTTTCTTCCACTATTTTGCGAATGAATCGATGTGAGTCAGAGTCTGCAGGCTGTATTTCAAGGCGGCGTCCTTTTAAGGTGCCAGTTATCTCTTTTCCGGTTTGCTTGTTTAAGTTTTTTAAGAATTCATCCGCTTTTGGTACTTCATCTACGACAATAATTGGCACTTTATCAATTCTGCTTGTTTTGGGGGCTTGAGTTTGGTTTTCTATTTGCGGGAATGGTGTCACTTTTGTTTGGTTGGTCTTTTGGGGTGGTAGTGAGCTGAGTGGCTGATTCATCTTCGTTGTCCAAATGCAATTTCGTCTATTTGGTTCTCTAATTGTTTATATCGATTGCTGGCTTTGAGGGAAGGCTCCTCATCGGAGTCAGAATCCGTTTGTCTATGGCGCAATTTTCTTTTCTTTGTTCTTTGAAACCACTAGTGGATTGAAGTATGTCGCAGAAGTTTTTAATCTCTTCAAATTGTTTAGCGAGCTTTTCGTTAGAGGTTTGTAATTCGTTTATTTTTGCATTGGCCATCTCGTTTTCCTGCATACGCAGTTGATTAATGGCTTTTACAAGGAGAAAGTTTAGTTCTTTTTGATCATCACTAGCGGACATAATCACATTTGGGTCGTTACGGATATCTTGGATATCTTCCACCAAGGATCTGGTAGTTTCGACGTCATTGGATAAAGTAATTTTGTGACTTAATATTTGGAGAACGTTGGGTTCATCATTGAGATGTCTCATGTGAGGATTTTCTGAGTTTGGAGGTGAATTTTCCATGTTTGTGTTATTATTAGTTACAGTTATGTTTGTTGTGTCATATTGATTAATCATGTGAGGCAAATAAGTTGGAAAAAAGGCCTAACTAGAGGCCGTACCCGAAGGTACCCTTATCAGCACGGTGAATAAAGAAAATCAGAAGAAAGAATAAAATACGACCTGTTTTATCCAGCGAAGGGTGCAGCAGTGGAGTTAAGGCGACGCTTTTGCGAGGCGAAAGCCAAAGAAGAAACAACCCAGAGCCCGTGAGGCGAGGTCGATGAACTCGGTACAGTAGCGGGGGTGGTAGCAACGCAAGGAAACGGAGAGCGAAGCGATAAGACGTCTATCTCGAACGCTGTCCCACCTCGGATTGGGAACGCCAACGGCAGTGCGCGATGTTTGCTTACATTAGGAAGTTGAGAAAATTGCAAAGGTGGATTGCCTTAGTTTCTGCGGTTACTTTCAGGGAAATATCAGGCAGTTTTTTTGGTTTGCTGATAGATAGAAAATAGATAATTTACCTTTATAAATCCGCGTTTATCTATTTAAACTTCAGAAGATTTATGATGAAGTGAATATATTTAACACAACAGAACGCAAGCGAACGAAAGACTTGTAAATCTTTAAAAAAAACATTACATCGATAATTAAAAATATTATTTATAGTTCATTATTAAAAACTTTTTATAAATGCATAGTTATCATATAATTAACAATTCATCCATGCATTATCTCATTATTTATTATAATTAAAAGAGAAGATATTTTTTACAGTAATGTTTAAAAATTTGCTGTTGTCTTTTAAAAGATTTACAAGTCTTAAGATTGTGTTCTGTTGTGTTAAATATATTCGCTTCATCTTAAATCTTCTGAAGTTTAAATAGATAAACGCGGATTATAAAGGTAAATTGTCTATTTGCCCTCTATCAGCAAACCGAAAAAACTGCCTAATATTTCCCTGTAAGTAACCGGAAAAACTAAGGCAATCCACCTTAGCAATTTTTTGAACTTCCAAATGTAAGGAAACATACACTGGTGTGCAAAAATTAAGGACGAGACGGTTTTTTCAATATAACTTTGTACAAAAGCTTTCCAAATCAAGACATTTAATACCGTAAGATCCCCAATACGTAAGGACATGAGTAATGTAAGCAACACTTACTAAAAGAAAAATCAGAGGGATAAAAAGAAGCTTTATTTAAAAAGTAGCATGGAGTGCAATGCGACTGAAGGCCGAAACATCCCTGTGATGGGTGTCCAGCAAGAAACATCCGGTCTTTAATAGGGGATATGATCTCCCCTGACTGCTAGATAGGTTTCAAAGCGTCTGCCTATGCTGAGAATGAGGGTGTCAATGAGTTGTTGAGGCATTGCTACCCATTCGTCTTGCAGCGCCAATCGAAGCTTCAGAATCGTTACTGGTGGTAAGGTACGAGCTGCCAAGCGTCTGTCTAGAAAATCCCATACATGCTCGATGGGATTGAGATCCGGAGATCGTGCCGGCCAATCCATACTTTCAATATCCTCACTCTGTAAGAGCTGTTCGGCAGCTACTGTGCGATGACATGTGCATTGTCGTCCATGAAAAGGAACTGCGGACCCATAGCGC